CCCCCAAATCAAGCTGTATCTTGCGGAGAAGAGCCTCGAATTCAATGTCCTTCTCCTCATGGACAATGCTGGAGGCCATGTGCAAGACCTATCCTACAATGGTGTGCAGATCGAATTCCTTTCTCCCAACACCACTTGGCCGATCCAGCCCGTGGATCAAGACATTATTCACGTGTTCAAGGCCCTCTATATATGAAGCACTTCATCGAAGGCATGAACCTTGAGGAGAACATCTTGCTGAAGGAGTACTGGCGGCAGTGTACCATTGCAACCTACCTGAAGAACATCCAGGCCGCATTGAAGGACATAAAGACAGAGACTATGAAGACCAGCTGGAAGATATTGTGGTCTAAAATTGTCCACAACTACAGAGGATTCATCCCAGAGGATATAAGCAACTCGGCAGTAGATAAGGCAGTTAGGCTGGCCCGGATGCTGGGAGGTTTCATGGATATGACCCACAATGACATGAATGAGCTGCTGGAGACACATTCAGATCCCTTAACTGACGAGGATCTGTGGAGATGGCTAAGTCTGAGAGTGAGGAGGAGGAAGAGAAGCCAGAGAGGTTCCTGGGAGTCAGGAGGAGGAAGTTGGACTTACACTTGAGCATCTCTCACAACTCGTGAGAACTATTAAGGTAGTACTGGACATGACTGGCAAATGGGACCCACAAATGATGCGCACATTGTGATTCTGGAATGCACTTGATGGAGCGATAGAACCCTACAAAAGCCTCCTCACACATATGAAAAGATAGCGCCAGCAACTGCCTATCATGATGTTCTTAAGCCGTGCACCCAGACACCCACTGCCTACTCCTGGTACTCCTTCAGCAGAAGACAACAATGACGCACCTGCTGAAGACACTGCACCACCTGAAGATTCTCCTACTGAGGTTGTGCCTTCAGAGGAGCTGTAACCTTGCTCTTCTTTGCTGTGCAGTACATCTCTTCATCTTCATCACTTCATCATTGAACAAGTTGCACTAATTTCATAGGTTAGTGGTTGTGTGTAAGAATGTATGTGTGTAATTAAATGTACAATATATGTAACATCTAATATGTCTTTTCTCTTATTTTGTCTAATATATTGGGTAATACAAGTGAAATGGTGACTAAAGGGTGTTATTTCATGTCTGGAGGGCTCTGATAATGTGAAAAAACATTTGGAAGATTGTAAACAGATTTTCCATGCTCTAACTGCAAAAATATTTGGTTTATAAAGAATCCTACTTCACGGAAATTCATCCATCATGGTAGTCTGGAACTGATGAACTGCAATAAACGAGGGCCAACTTTAATGTCTTCAAGGTCCATGTTGTAGCATATATTACAATTGTCTTTCTGTTTAAGACTGAATAATATATATATGTATATGTATATGTATACACACACACACACACACATACATACATATCACACACCACATTTTATCTATTCATCCATCAGTGGACATTTAGGTTGCTTTCCACCTTTGGCTATTGTGAATACTGCTATGAACATCAAATATTTTTGAGACCTTTCTTTCCATTCTTTTGGGTATAAACCCAGAAGGAAATTGCTGGATTATATGGTAATTATTCATTTTTCTTTATGAACCTCCATACTGTTTTCCATTAAGGGTTACACCATTTTACATTCCCATTAGCAGTGCACAAGTCCCAATTTCGTTTTTTGAAAATTAGTAGCTATCCTTATGGATGTGAGATAGTATCTCATTGTGGCTTGATTTACATTTTTCTAATGACTAGTGACATTGAGCATCTTTTCACGTGCTTATTGACCATTCATATATCTTTGGAGAAATGTCTACTTAAGTGAAAAGGGTTGCCTTTTCTCTATTGATTGTATCTTTTGATGCACAAATTTTTTATTTTGATGTGGTGTAATTTATCTATTTTCTTTTGTTACCTGTGCTTTTGGTGTTAATGTCCTAGAAATCATTGCTGAATCAAATATCATGAAGCATTTCTCCCAGTGTTTTCTAAGGGTTTTAGTTCTAGTTCTTACATTTAGGTCTTGGATCTGAATTGATTTTGTATACGATGTAAGGGAAGGGACCAACCTCATTCTTTTGCATGTGGATTATCATTTTCCTAGCACTATTTGTTGGAATCATTTAACCATATATATGAGGGGTTATTTCCAGGCTATTTAATTGCATAGGTCTGTATGCTAATGGTTTTAATAAATGAGAAATGTACAATATCTTTTATTATGCTCGATCAACTTAACCTGTCAAATAAATATTAGTGTATCCCTAATTTACAATACCCCACCTATTTTTTCCATCTCCTTACATCACTGTCAGCTTCAAAACTGGAATTTCAATGAGGTAAGTTTCTAGTTTCCAAACTTTAAAATATAAACATGTCTTCCCTTGGCCCTGGAACCATTGTATACATTTACTGTAACTTACTTGTTCTCAAAAGTCAGATTTAAATGATTATTGAAACACTCTATTAAGTAGGTCAGAACTTAATTTTAAACCTTTCACTAGAGTATTTTGTTGAAAATGAGACTTCATATTTAGCATCTCATTGACACTTTTTTCTTCTTCACTTAGGTACCACTGTATTTTGTGTTGCTCCAAATGCAGTATTTCCATTTGAACTATATAATGAAGAATATTTAGAACAAAGGGATATCTATCTGACTCACTGCCAACAACAGCTCCTACAGTTTATTGCTACATACGGACCTGGGACAGCTATTTTTACTAATGATGAATAGGCAGTCTTAAGGAAATTTTCTTCATTACTACTTCAGCAATGGAAAAAGTGTTGAGTGATATTGAATATTTCAGGTAATACTGTGAATGCCACCTTAAAAAAACATAAAACATGCTCTCTTCAGATTAACTGCTAATAGAATAAACACTAATTCAAATCTCAAAGCCAACAGCAGAAATTGAAAATTTAGAATACTTAAAAAAAAAAAAAACAACCCTCTGGCTAGCCCTGTATACCACTGGGCAACAGATAAAAATGTTTCAAGTCAAGCCATGTTAAAAAAAGGTAATTTTGCCCTGGCCGGTTTGGCTCAGCGGTAGAGCGTTGGCCTGTGGTCTAGAGAGACTGGAGTTCGGTTCCCGCTAAGGGAACGTACCTCGGTTGCAGTTTGTCCTCGGCCCTGGTTGGGTCATGCGGGTGACAGTCACTCGATGCGTCCCTTTCACATCGATGTTTCTCTCTCTCTCTCCCTCCCACTCCTTCTATCTGAACAAAAAAATGGAAAAATGTCCTTGGGTGAGGATAAAAAAAAAAGTAAATTTTCTGTAGTTGCCTCAATTTGGCACAAGATGGCAACAGCAGTTCAAATTAAAGTTTTCTCTTGCACTTTTGAACTGACAAATGAGTAAATTTAACAATTTATATAACCAGAAGCCTCATATTTAAGGACTTTTTATGCTTTACTAGATATTGACCATTACATAAATAGTTTCAAAGCCCTAATTATGAGTCAAGAAAAGCCTCGAAAAACGTTTCCATTTGTATAAACCAGGTTAAACAAACAAAAACATAATTTAAGCCTGGCTGGTGGTTCAGTGGATTGAGCATCATCCCATGGACTGAGTGAGAGATCCTGGTTTGATTCCCAGTCAGGGCGCATGCCTGGGTTGCAGGCTTGATTCCCAGTCAGGGGCATGCAGGAGACAGTGGATGGATATTTCTCTCACAAGGATTCTCTTTCCCTTACCCTCTCTCTAAAAAAAAAAACAAAACAAAAAAAACCCACAGCAATTTAAGTCAAATCAAGCAATAATTGACTCTTTAAACTTAACTGGTTACAAAGAATGCCAAAAGACAAACCAATTTGCAGACCCATTCTTCATTTTTTGGGGGAAGATACCTGCTCTGAAAAGGTAGGGACACCGTGATAAAATGTACTTGTAAAATCCCCCAATCCTTTTCATTTTTCAGAACTTTTTACTCACTAAAAGGAAGTCACCACAAAATTGCCACCTTATTAAGCAAGATACTACCATGCATTGATATTTTAGAAATTGGTACAAGGAGCTTAACTCTCTCTACAGGATTTGGACATCATTCACCATCTCCTACTCATTCCACATTATTTAACATCCACTGGTGCCAGTTTTCAGAAAGCAGTTTTAAAAAGTATGTATTACTTGGCCAGTGACTCAGTGGTTGAGTGTCGACCCATGCACCAAGAGGTTGGTGGCCCAATCCCCAGTGGGGGACATGGAGGAGGCGGCCAATTGATGCTCTCTCATCAATGTTTCTATCTTTCCCTCTCCCTTTAAAATCAATAAAGAAAAATCTTAAGTACATATTACAATCTTATACTGTGTTAAGACCTTATTTAGTGGCTTATGTTACTGTATTTAAGACCCATAAAATACCCTCTATTTTACAATTGTAAAGTGTTAAGTTTCTGTTGAAACAAGAGGACTAATAACTAACTATAGTTGTCCCCCTTATCCATGGAGTATGTTCCAAGACCCCCAAGTGGATACCTGAAAATATGAATAGCAGCAAACTTTTCCCCTATATATACCTACGATAAAGCTTAATTTATCAATTTGGCACAGCAATGGATTTAATAAAATTATACTGTAATAAAAGTTCTAAAGAGTTACATAATTAGCACTGATACCATGAAACAGCTACTAAGTAACTTAACTGGCAGGTAATGGCTGGACAAAAGAATGATTCAAAACTCAGAACCTGTGCAACATAGAACTTAAGAATTACTTCTGGATTTATCCATTTAATATTTTTGGACTGTAGGTAACTGAAACCATGGATAAGGGCCCATATATCTATCTAGTATGCAGTGATTAGGACCTCTCTAGAAACCCCCTAAGGAAAGAAAAAATACAAGAACCAGAGCTCCTAAAAATATCTTTCCAGCTGCCTACCACCTCAAGTAGAATACTATCCACAAATAAGATAGTTAACGTACTGTCCCCTAAAGTATGTTAAAAACAAGTCTGACTAGTGACTGAGAACAGAGCCGTTTAAAGACGATGTTTTAAAGAAAACAGATTTTATTGCCCAGCAATTAAAAATATCCAAATATGTATTTTCCCCATAATTTTATTGAGTTGATCAATGTTAAATAAAATATTACTTTTCATCATTTGCTTCAATTCATGTCTTCTTGACCAATTCTTTGTTTTTCCTTCCAAAATGTCACATGCCACAGCTGGTGGGGGGGAAATCAGAAACCAATAGTGAAAATCATTCTGTACTCAAACACAAAGGAAATCATACCCCTAACAAAGGCAAGTAACAGGAACTGGCCCCAGCCCTTTTGAATGATCAGTAGATGCATGATAAATCATAATTACTTACCTGAGGCAACAAAGAATTCTTAAACACCACAGCTAAGAACTTGAGTGTTCATTCATCTGCAGCTACCTATATGCCAAAAGAACATTTCACAGATTTTAGTTAAAAAAAAAAATTGCATTATAGTTGTATTCACATAATCTCAATATAGACTACTGGCATCTCAGTCTTAAATTATTTCTTCAAAGACACTCTCAGCTGGGTAAACGGCAAAAAGTAATTTAAGTCATCATTGTGCCAGTTAAATAAAATTTTCACTTTTGGTAGTGTTCAAGAATACCAAATACATTTTTTTTAAAAAGCACACAATTTAACGTTAACTTTTGGTACCTTGTTGTAACATCCAGTTGTGTTCCTAGGGGATTGGTCATCCTCAACCTTCATTCATCTTCAACTCTCAGGTTCTGTTGCACCTGGAAATTAGTATTTCATTGTAATTTTTATTTGTACTTGCACCTGTTTGGCACCTTATATATTCAGGAATGGTCCCATTCCAGTTAAGTTTTTTCCTTATCAGGAACCCTATAAACACACCATACTTGCAAGCTTCCTGAATGACCAATTTTTAAAAACTACTAACATTGAGACCATGTAATATATTAATTTTCTATTTGCTGTTTAACACAAGAATGTACTTGCTGCCTAATTCTACTTTTGGTAGTCAAAAGTGATAAACCTAAAATTTAATTTCTACAATGATTTGAGAATGTGTTAGTCCTTTTGACTGATTAGGCCCTAATAATCCCATAAATGATCTTTCCAAGCTAGAAATGGATTCATTAGCATTTGCAGGAAAAAATAGTGGATATATCTACTGTGGAAGTATTGATTTTAAGACATGATTGTCCTAATGAGTACTCAGCCATTGCTTTTCTGTCTCAGTTTGACAAGGATGAGATATGAGTCAGGTTAAAGGTCAAATATATAAAATCAAGTGTGCAGACCTCCAACTGAAAGCATTACAACGGCAAATATAATATAGTTTGAGAGCAGAGATTAAGTCCCAAGTTGCCTGAAAATACACCTAGGTACTGCAAAGGGCATGGCCAGGGCCACAGATCTTGTCCTAAAGGAGCATAAATCATTGAATCAGAGAGCTATTTGAAATGATTTATGAAAGCATATCAAATGTTGTACCCTGCAAAACAATTGATCATTTTCAAGTATTGAAATACTGAATATTTCACATAATATTAGGAACAAAATATTGGTTATGAATAATTGCAATTTGGAAAGTTCCAGTTTAATGTGATGCATAGGGCTACTGACAACTACAGTGTGCACAGTACCATTTGTTTAAAGCCTAAAACAAGAAAAATGTTTAGTAATGCATATGTATAAAACTGCTACCCATCCTACTCCCTTCAAAACACCAAATGACTAGACAAAATCCAGATGATGGGCACCGAAGGATGAAAGACAAGAGTAAAAGGATAGGAAAACGCATGGATATAGCACGCTGCGGGATTTAAGTGCATCCTCATTATATTTGTAAAATCTAAAATTTCAACACTTAATTAAAACAGGATTCAAGCTCCGCCAGTGTGGCTCAGTGGACTGAGAGGTCCCAATTCGATTCTCTGTTAAGGTACATGCCCAGGTTGGGGGCTAGATACCCAGTGGGAGGTAGCTCCACTGTGTCAAGTCAATGTGCTCTTGACAATTAAATTATCAATCACAAAGTACAGTTAAGTAAAGGTTTTAATATTTAAGAAAGAATCCCCTGCCCCTTTAAAAAATGACCCCTTATTAAGGCTGTACTGCCCATTTAAGGGACACTGCCACCTTCTAGGCCGCACACGAAGTCAGGGAAAATGGGTCCCCGCGAAGGCCCGAGCGGAGCACGAAGCCACCGGCCGTACCTTCCCGCCGCCTCGTATCCAACTGAACCATAGGCCCTTAGTTGCTGAGCTGAGAACAGTCGAAACCAACGTAGATTAAGGGCCGGTTAAGACTCCCAGGTGGTTGGTTCTTCACAAAATGCCAATGAACAGACGAGGCAAGTCGTGGCCGCGTCAATTTGGGGTGAAGGCAGAGGCTACACCCGGGCAAGGGACGGAGACTACCGGAACGGAGGCACCGGCGCGGGCCCTATAAGCGGAGGGCCCCGAGGTGGGCATGGGCTCCTGCACGGGGTGGGGTTCCCAGCAGAAAGAGAGAAGGGGCTGAGATCAAGGAGACTCCCACCTCGAAATGACTGGCAACCGGCCCGAGGGCACCGTCGCCCGGCCCGCCTGACCCGCATAGCCGGAAGTATCAAGCGACTTCTCCGACGCCCGCCGAAAGGAAAAGAAAGACTACTGCCGCGGCAGGCTCTTATGCACTGCGGTGGCCCCGCCCCTTCCGGGCCTGGCCCCGCCCCTGCCAGTGTAGCGCGCGGCGGAGTAGGGGGCGCGGCCTCGACCATCGCCTTCTTCCCCCACTTCTGGACTTCCGGTGGCGTGCAGCACACCCCTCAAGGTTCTGTTGAGGCGTCTGTGGTACTCCCGTGGGGGCTTTCAAGGCTCATGAGGACTGCACCTCGAGCCACTTCACTGAGTATGTACATGATTAACTTGCCTGTTACGTGTCGGAGCCAGCATTAACGGTGCTCTAAAACGGGACTCCCATTCCTAGTACTTTGCTTGGCCTTTTCCCTCACATCGTCCAAACAACTGCTGGTATTGGACATCCCAATTTAGATGAAGGGTATCGATCCCTTCACACAGAAGAACTAGTTATCAGGAAAAAGGAGCAATGGTATTTCCCTGATATAGCAATAGCCACTGTTACTGTTTCTACTGATAATAATAGTAGAAGGTTAAAAAAGGTATTCATAAAGCAGTCGACTGCCTTGTTTATGAACATGCAATTTACTATTGATTTTTCTGCTTTGTGTTTTATAGGCATACAGCTTTATCGTAGGCCACAGACGTTGCATTTTCTACAAATTGAAGCAGAACCCTCCACCAGCAAAAGTAGATTACAACTGGTTTTATTGCCAGTAGTTGTCTCTAACCCAAACCGCAATATCTCCAAGGTACACCTGTATTACTCTTGTTTCTCTCAATTATTGTATAGAGCCCTGGCTGCAACACACCAGGCTTAGCCTGGAGAAGACAGGCTGATGATTTTGTTGCCAGAAAGAACACACATGAAAGCATATAATTAAATAGTTGCATCAGTAAAAGACACATTATCAGTTCTTTAAAAATTGGACACCTAAGAAATTAATAGAAATTCTAGCATAAATTACATTTGCCTCCAAGAAACATGGTATGAAAATCTAAACCCAGCAATACAATTTGTGATTATATTCACTTTACTAAAGGATTCTTCTCTATATAAGTTTTTGCTGAATGCTTTACAGGAGCTTAAAATTGTTCGGGGTCCCAAGTGGGTTCTGTTTCTTCTGTCAAGTCATGGATTGGGCTTCAGCCTGCCATCACAGACAGACTCCTGGGTGAATATTAGGAATACAACCTAATTTTGCAACTTGGGCAGCCACCTCCACCAAACCTTTGCCTACAACTGGGTGGGCAGCTGTAAGAGCCACCATTACTGAACAGTGTAGAGGAGGGTCTGAAAATGAATTCTAACTTGTTTAAATAGAATTATACAGTATGTACTCCTTTTTGTCTGGCTTCTTTCACTCAGCATAATTATTTTGAGATCCATGCTGTTGTGTGTAACAGCAATTAATTCCTTTTTACTGCTGAGTAGTGTTTCCATATATGGATATACTACAATTTGTGTATCCATTGCCCCACTGATGGATGTTTGGATTGTTTCCAGTGTTTGGCTGTTATAAATAAAGCTGCTATGACTATTCATAAATAAAGTGTTTGTATGAATATGTGCTTTTAATTCTCTTGGTAAATACCCAGGAATGGAATGGCATGGTAGGTATATGTTTAACTTTGTAAGAAACTGCCAAACTGTTTTCCGAAGTGGTTATAACATTTTACATTCCCATCAGCAGTGCTTGAGTGTACCAATCGTTTCATTTTTTTTTTTTTTTTAAAGAATAGCTTATTGCCCTGGCCGGTTTGGCTCAGCGGTTAGAGCGTCGGCCTGCGGTCCAGAGAGACCCGGTTTCGGTTCCCGCTAAGGGCATGTACCTCGGTTGCAGTTTGTCCCCGGCCCTGGTTGGTCGTGCGGGTGGCAGCCACTCGATGTGTCCCATTCACGTCCATGTTTCTCTCTCTCTCTCTCTCTCTCTCCCTCCCACTCTGTCTGATCAAAAAATGGAAAAATGTCCTCCGGTGAGGATAAAAAAAAAAAAAAAAAAAAAAAAAAGAATAGCTTATTGATTTTTAGAGAGAGAGAGGAAGGGAGAAGAGAGAAACATCAATTGACTGCCTTCTGCATGCCCCCTACTGGGAATCAAGCCCAAAACCTGGTTTGGGAATCGTCTCTTCTAATAAACGTCTTTAAAAGTCTTTTTTAATAGCCCTGGCCGGTTTGGCTCAGCGGTTAGAGCGTCGGCCTGCGGTCCGGAGAGACCCGGGTTCGGTTCCCGCTAAGGGCGCGTACTTCGGTTGCAGTTTGTCCCCGGCCCTGGTTGGTCGTGCGGGTGGCAGCCACTCAATGTGTCCCTTCATGTCGATGTTTCTCTCGCTCTCTCCCTCCCACTCTATCTGTACAAAAAAAAAAAAAAAAAAAAAAGGAAAAATATCCTCGGGTGAGGATAAAAATAATAATAATAAATAAATAAAAGTCTCTTTTAATAAATTGCCCTGACTGGGGAATCGAACCTGTATCCTTTTGGTGCATGAGACGATGCCCAACCAACTGAGCCACACAGCAACCATGGCTCGTTTTACATTCTTGTCAACACTTGGTAAGCCAGTCTTTTTTTTATTTTCTATTTTTTATCCTCACCCGAGGACATTTTTCGATATTTTGTTCAGACAGAATGGGAGGGAGGGAGAGATAGGGAGAAACATCGCCGTGAAAGGGACACATCCAGTGGTTGCCACCCACATGACCCAACCAGGGCCGGGGACAAACTGCAACCGAGGTACGTGCTATGGAACGGAACCCGGGTCTCTCCAGACCTGTAGGCCAACGCTCTAACCGCTGAGCCAAACCAGCCAGGGCGGTAAGCCAGTCTTTTTATTTTATACATTCAAATAGGTGTGTGGTGGTATTTCATTGTGTTTTTAATTTGCTGTTCTCTAAAGAATAATGAGTATCTTTTTACATGCTTATTTGTTATCTGAATATCTTCTTTGATAAAATATCTATTCAAATATTTTGCCCACTTAAAAAATTGAGTTGTTTATTTTCTTATTATTGAGTTTTGAGGGTTCTTTATGTATTTGGGATACAGGATCTTTATCAGATAGCATGTGCAAATATTTTATTCCAGACTATATCTTGTCTTCATTCTCTGAACAGTAACGTTCAAAGAAACAGATTCTTCATTTTAATAAAATCCAATTTGTCTGTTTTTTTCTTTTTATGGATTTGACTTCAGGTATTATTTCTAAGATAATTTACTTACTCAAACTTATGGAAAATCATTTTTCCCCCAACCATAGAACTACTCAATTATCCCTCAGGAGAATAAATATGTTCTTTTCAGGACCATAGATCACTCAACTAGGCTCATAAAATAAGCGTTTCTATCCAGCATTCACTTTGAATCCCTCACTAGCTATGCTTAGGTGGATTATGTCATGAATTTTGCCCAAATCCAGTACAACATCAAAAGACTCATCCTAAACCAGACCTTCAAAAACCTCATAAATATCCCGCCTTTGCCCTCCCTGGTTCTAAGATGCTATTAAGACTCTGTCAAGCCCTGGCCGGTTTGGCTCAGCGGTTAGAGCATCCACCTGCGGTCCGGAGAGACCCGGGTTCGGTTCCCGCTAAGGGCATGTACCTCGGTTGCAGTTTGTCCCCGGCCCTGGTTGGTCGTGCGGGTGGCAGCCACTCGATGTGTCCCTTTCACGTCGATGTTTCCTCTCTCTCTCTCTTCCTCGCTCTCTCCCTCCCACTCTATCTGTGCAAAAAATGGAAAAATGTCCTCGGGTGAGGATTAAAAAAAAAAAAGACTCTGTCAAGGCAGTGGTCTCCCTTCTATTATTCCTCCCTCCATTACAAGCTTTTTGTATTTTTTACTCCTCACTTGAGGATATGTTTTTATTGATTTGAGAGAGAGAAAGAGAAATATCTATTGGTTTCCCCCTGTACGCACTCTGACCACTGATTGAACCCACAAGTTGGGCATGTGCTCTGACTGGGAATTGAACCCTTGACCTTTTGGTGTATGGGATGACACTCCAACCAACTGAGCCACGTCGGCCAGGGCTGTTACAAGTTTTTGTGATAAGCAATAAACTTGGCTTTGCTTTATCAATAGATTATCTTGTTGGTCTTTTCAAGGAGTCAGCAACCACAATAGTAAAAAAGAAAGAAAAGATAAATGTCTCCAAAAGCATAAGAAATAGGTAGATGACAAGAGTGTACATCCACTGTGCGTGTTAATTTTATATAACCTAAATGTCCAAGATTGGTAAAGTTAATTATAATACCTCCATACAATGAAATGAAAATCCTACTCTTGCCTGGTAAGTATATTTACCCCCTCTTCCAGGCTATTTCAGCCCATCTCTCTCTCCTCAAATCTCCTCTTTCCCTTCCCCCTCATTCTTAGCTGATAACTTATTATTTTAGTCAGGATTCCTTAAGGGAGAGAAACCACACAGTAATTTAAACAGGAAAACGTTAATATAAAGAATTATTAACTATAACAAGGGATTATCTATTAAGAGAAACAGAAAATTCTAAAGACTATAATATAAAAGTAGCAGATATAAGGAGCTGCCACTCCTAAGGCAGAGCTAGCACGGAAGAGATTTGGTTGCGGCCCCTCCAGATTTTGTGACTCACTGAATGGTAGAGAAGCAAGTTGCCCCCTGTGTTGCTATGTGCAGCTAGCTGGCCACAGTGAACTGCTAGAGCCTGGTGAGAGGAGAAAACCCCAACCAGAAGGAGAAGCTCCTTCCTCCTGCAATCTCCCTTCAGCACCCTGTACCGACAAACCTTAACATTATGCTCTTGGCAAAGGAGAAATGTTTATATGCTGTAGCTCCATTATCATAGAGCAGGTAATGAGGGGTAGATCTGGAGATGAAAGACAGTAAATTGATAACTGGCACATTCTGTCCTCTTGATTGAGAAAATAGCATCCACTAAATAGGAACTCACCATCAAACCTGCACCCCTCTGGGCATTAGCAGCCACTTTCTCCTTCTGTCCTATTGTGCCAGAGTATCCCTCCTCCTATCCAAGACTCTTGGTCC